CAATGACGCAATTGCTTGATATTCTTCTATAAATTATTCAACATACCGAAACCATCATCTTGCAATCACCCAAACAAATTGTCGGTTTGCAAATAAATTTGATCGATGAAACGAAATTAAATAATTTAATCACTCTAAATTTACATTTTGGTAATGAAAATGACGCAATTGCTTGATATTCTTCTATAAATTATTCAACATACCGAAACCATCATCTTGCAATCACCCAAACAAATTGTCAGTTTGCAAATAAATTTGATGGATGAAACGAAATTAAATAATTTAATCACTCTAAATTTACATTTTGGTAATGAAAATGACGCAATTGCTTGATATTCTTCTATAAATTATTCAACATACCGAAACCATCATCTTGCAATCACCCAAACAAATTGTCGGTTTGCAAATAAATTTGATGGATGAAACGAAATTAAATAATTTAATCACTCTAAATTTACATTTTTTTTCGAATTCACAATAGTCGTGTTTTTTGCGATGCCGTGTGGTGGACAATGAAACGCAATTGAGATATTAATATTTGGGAAATGAGTAGAGTGAAAACGATGCCTTCGTTAACGTTTTTCCAGTCGATGCTTTGCTCTTGTGTATTGGACCGATACATGTTGGTGGTTCAGAATTGACTTCCCAGAAAACCCAGACAGAACATCAAATAGCAATTTGTTTATGGTAATTAATAGGTAATTGAACCCAATTTTAATAAGCATTTGACGAATTCGGTACATACTTTGTATTTTGGAAGTAAAAAATTAATTATACGTGCTTCAACTTTAAATGGAAATATTATGGTGGTCCAAAAATGTAGCAATACTCATAGCCAGGCACAGGTACCCGCAATAAATGTACGGAAATATCCGTGTTGAATATACACTCACATGATTGAGTGAAATGCATTGTAGTTTTTTTCACTGTTTCGTGGTTTATTGATAGGTATGACAATGTTAACAGATATACAATTTGAACACAATATATTCAGTGAACAAATGCATGTTATGTAACAATATGCGTTGTTTGTAAATGTCAGAATATATATAGTTATTTTTTTATATTTTTAAATATTGTATACAGTGATTACAATTGTTTACAGTTTTCTCGTACGTTACCGGGATAGCAAACCAGAAGATAAAATAGCGATATCATCTTTTTTAAGCCTACTGTCACCTGCCATTTATTGAAATCATTTATTCTAACAGCTCTTCTGAATAATGCTGATTTTGTTTGAGCTGTGAAACATAATATTCTTGTAATTATAATAATTTGTGTGTTATGGTGCTTGTCATTTTGATAAAACTAGTGCTTACCGATTTGTCTGCTTTTTCTCAGCTGAGAAAGCTGTTGTTACAAAATCTACTAAGTCATTATAAAATGATTATACATGGTGCATATAGTTTGCCGATTTACCTGAAATGTTGTACATTAAATATGTCAAATATTTAATATTCTACTCACGATAATCAATTTTGACCAATTCTAATGAACTGTGTGGTCGGCATTTGCGCTTGCGTATTGCACACATCACTCTACGCTTAAAATAATCTGTTCACGAATGAATCCTATAAATAGTGAGCATGTTCATAATCAACACAACATTTTCCTGAACTGCTGGCGTGCATTACTCTACATGTGAGTATGTTGTATGCAATGCGTTTTCCGATTGCAAACTGTGATGTATTTATTTGGTTATATTTTGTAGATATACATTTGTTCTCATTTTCTCCTTTATAAAAAAAAAAACTTGTGATTTTTGGTTTCTGCATTCCTTTGAATAAGTTATTGCATTAGTTGGACTAAGTTGAAATTATGATATCATATGGGATGCTATGGTGTGATTGTTTTTCAGTCTAAATACTATTCACTTCTTACAACCTGCTAGTAATGTGCAAGGTAATGGATATTTAAATTGGTTTACATCGGTGGAAACGTATGAAATTATGAGACTCTTTTTACATGATATGTGCCCGACATAGTCAATATGATATGGTTCGTGTCTTGTATTTTATAACTGACTATACGTGTGGTTTCTTAGGAATATTTATTATGACATGATTTTCATTTTCACCTATGATTTCATTGCAAAATTATTTTTCAAAAGTTATTATGCTAATTTGATTTATTTTATTATGATATATTTACATTTCACCAATGATTTCATTGCACAAATATTTTCAAAATAATTATGTTGATTTGTATTATTCTGAATTGCAGCTTTCTTATCCATTAAATGTCGTTGTATATGTATTGGGTAAATCTATCCACGTGATTTATATTTTTTGGGCTGCAAACCAGCGTGACAATCGCAGTGTTATAATGTAAATAGTGTCTTTGTTTTGTTTTGTTTTTGTTTAATTGTAATAAGATTCGCTTTTGCATCGTGTAGACTTGGTAACCAGTTATTATTGATTGTGATGGCAAAGATTGAAACAATGTATTCCTTACTGTTATCACTAGTGGTATTTGCGTATAGTGCACATGCGGTGAGTAATAAACATGTCATTTTCGGATATGTTTATTTATATAAATGCATGCATGCTTTCAGCAATATACAAAACAATACGTCATGGTTTATATGAGGTAATTTTAGGCAACACACCAAGCAAAGCATGCGTTGCCTCACAGCTTGATCCGTTCATCGCCACAGTTAGTTGCCTTTTGTACCCTTCATTTTTGTTCCGTTGTCTCATGCGTAACTCGGGGTGCTATTTTCATATTTCTTCTTTTTTCTTTATTTATCTCTTATTTTCTTTTTAATCAAAGGGGTTGGATGTTATTTAAATTTGTTGATAACTGTTTTTACGAGGCTTGTATTGATGTAATTGATGAAATCAACGTTATTGATCAATTAAAGCATTTTCGCAAATATTGTTGGCAGATTGCTAAAATATATTGGGATGATTTGATTCCCAAACTATGATTTTGAGACAATTAATTGTTTGGCCATAACATTTTTGCAGTTATGATTACTGGATTGTGTTACATGGCATGTTATTATGAATGGGAATTATGTATTAATGTATTAAATGTATTTGTTTATATTTTTATTTTCTATCCCAATATGACGCCTTTCAATATTCCAATAAAAATCATGTTACAAATTCTGCGTCGCTACAGTACATCATCATCAATTATATGTATATCACAATGTAACCATATGTACTTATTATTTCAGAATGAAAGTTTAGTAGATGCAGATGGTAATTTCGAGCATGATATAAAACTAACACCGGAACAGCTTGCCATGATAGAAGAAGATATAACAGCCCAGAACAGTGGTGTTGAAGCTAGAAAGGCTCATGGTGATATTGCGACACGTTGGCCAGGTGGCGTTATTCCCTATGATATTTCGTCTTCAAGTAAGGACAATGTACAATTATTCTACTCTTGACAAATCAGTGTTAAACACTATCATCTTTTGGGAAAGCATACCCTGTCCTGAAATGTTTTCATTACTTTGAAGATAAGCGTAGTTAGGTTTCAGTGCTTACTTTGTTCAGATGCTTTAAATTACTTCAATGCATGTAATAACAAGGTCTCGGTAATCATGTCATATAGCTTTTGCAGCTTCTTTATATTGTAATATTACACTATTTAATACAATTTATTGTTTATATTGTAATATGCCAAAAGTACGCCATTTTAATACGATCTATTGTTTATATTGTAATATCTCAAAATTAC